CAACGATGGGGGACAATGAGCAGTAATTATAGTAATAATAGTAACTGTAGTAATAATAATAATAACAATAATATCAGTGATATTAGCAATGGCAGTCAAGCTTACAAAGTTGGGTTTACAAAGTGCTTTAACAGGGTGGTATATAATTTAATTACATTAAATACTGATTAAATAACAAGCTGATTTTTAAATAACATTATATAAGAAAACTCAACTAATAACAAGACTGTTCTGCAAATATTTAAGCCAGATTATTTGTATGATAGCAGTGTTTGACTATATTTACTAGTAATTTGATTGTTTTTCCTAGTATCCTAGTATCCTAAATCCTAGTAAAAAGGCAGATTAACAACAAAACATAGTAATGAAGGAATATATTTGCAGAAATGTAAAACAGAAACAGAATTAAACTTGTAAGAACAATATAAAAATAAAAGCTTATAAAATACTAAAACTCACAAAAAGCAAACAAAAGCCAATGAAAACATAGGTCTTTGAGTGAAAGTGGAGGAATATTGAAAGCTTTGGAGCTGCTACCACAAGTAGACCAAAACTAGACCAACAGGATTTTTGCAAATGAAGGTCTCAGCGCAGTTAGGGCTGGAGAGGGAAGCTCATAAAGAGGGATGTAAACGTGAACAGAGGACGGGAAGTGGAGTGAAGTTATAAAGTTGTGAAGTTGTTAGGGCAACGGACTAGACCCTACACTGTCAGTGCAGCAGGGACTTTCCTTTAGAGAAACTGTGAGTAGTAGAGACAGTGGGTGGGAGGGAACATCAGACTGACTGAAGGAGGAGTCTGAAAAGAAGAGAGCCAGCCAAAAGGAGGGGCACAGACAGGCTTGGCAGATGTGTTTTGTCTTTAGCTGTGAAAGAACAGGGGACGAGGAATGACTGCATGCTGTACAGACACTCCACTTTTTCACCTTTCTTTGTCTATCTTTCACTTCGGTTCATTTCTCGTGTAGTGTGTCTGAAGCCTCCCCGCTGACATTATGGACAACTTCCAGACTGTCCTGCATTTCTTCATGAACCAGAAAGCCACCATTGGTTACAGTTTCATGGCTCTCCTGACTATAGGTGGGGAACGAGTCTTCTCCATGGTCTCCTTTCAGTGCCCCTGCAATCATGACCAGAACTTTGCTTATGGGCTGACTTTCTTGCTGGGTCCAGCTGTGGTTCTGCTGGTCTTGGGTCTGTTCTTCAGCACCAGGTTGTGGAGGCTCTACACTGGCTGCTGCCTCGATCCCATGAAGCTTTGCCCCCGTGGGAACTGCTTCGGCTGCCTCAGAGTGTTCATGAACATCTTTACTGGGGCTTGTGTGGCTCCTATAATGTGGCTCTGTGTGGCCCTACTCAACGGGACCTTTTATGAGTGTGCTGTCAGTGGTCTTGATGATAACCTGGTGGTGGATCTGTTCTGTAAAAACAAGACCTTGAAGTGTCGGGAGGAGCTGGCCCGTGTCCCCTGTGACCGGTCCAAACTGTCCAGTGAAGAGCGCATGGAGCTGCTGCTGATGTTCAGGGCCCAGTCACAGGTAAGAGACACACACCCGGTTCCCCAACAAATCCTGTGAAAACAGTGATGTTTCAAGTAGGCACAGTATAACATGACACACCCTAGAAACTGTTGCTGTTTGGTTAAGTTTAGGCCTGAAAACATCTTGGCTAGGTTTAGGAAAAGATCATTGTTTGGATTAAAATAAGCAAGCTAATCCAGGAAGTTATCTCTAGTGCTGTGTCGTGTACAAGTGGCAACATGTCCAGTTGGAAACTGAAGCCAACACAGACCGAACAAAAACTGCAGTTCCTCTAACGACCACTTGAGGGTTAGGGTGAGGGACTTATACTGACTCCAATATCTCAATATTCGCTGATACATGAGGCATACATGAGATCATTTAAACATGTACACTTTATATAAAAAGGTTCGATACAAGAGATTCACTTGCCACTGGATGTTGCACTAAAGCATCAGCATCCCAAAACATCTATCTATATATATCTAACTCTTAATATAAAGTACTCCTCCTTGCTGCAATACAGGCAGTTCTGAAGATGATTTTTCACTATGCTGCTTTCTTCGACTACCACCATGACCAAGTAAAGCTTTTTTTACATCATGTTGCATCTGTTGTTTGATCTGTTGCTTGTGAGACGAAATGAGATGGCGAGTACAGAGAATGGATTCCCCTCTGACTTAGTATACTCACAGGTGTAGTTAAATGTTCCAGATAAAAAAATAGTATGTTGACCTTGAATTAATATTATTATTTATTACTTATTAAGTGTCTTTTACATCCTGATAATTAACACACACTCTAAGAAGAATACAATCCTGGAAAAACACTTAAGATGACTGTTATCTATTTTTAGATATTGTCAAATCTTAATAATATGATTAACGACTGGACAATAAGGCCTAGCAGCATGACTGTAATAGTATTACCATCATCCTTCAAGCACTGTTATTAGTACAGGGAGTGTTAAAAGGAGACCTACCTATCCACATTTATTTAAATATGTATAATGTATTCCTTTGTAGTATTTAATAGTATAATAGTGTTGAGTGAGCATCAGTTTATATCATTCTTGCATGCCTGCAGATCCTGGGGTGGTGCATCATCTTTATCGCTGCAGTCACAGGCCTCCTGGGTACCTGCTGCACAAACTGTCGTTCCAAAGTCAGCTTCCTGCAGCTCACGTTCTGGAAACGCTATGTGGAGAAAGAGAAGGAGCGATTCGATGCCTTTGCTGTGGAATACGCCACCAAGCTGGCCGAGAGAAACCTGCAGAGCTTCTTTGAGAATAAGGAACCTGAGAAATTCCCCTTCCCCAGCCACAGGGCATGGGAGGAGATCTCTGCACACTACACCTTCTCCAGGAGCGAGCAGTATTACAGCACCCTGCAGCGTTACGTTGAGAGAGCTGACAGGGACTTGACGCCAGAGAAGAGACCTGTCATGGACTTGGAGCATGGAATAGAGATGAGCTAGACGAGGAGAATGTGGAACAGCCAAGCTGTGGTGAGACTAGTTACTCATCACTGTTGGTATTTAAGTATATTGTATGTGTTTGACTCAGGAAAAGTCTCCTCATTGACAAAGCTGCCCTTTCAGTTAAAGAATGTGGCTATTGCAAACTACAATGGTACAACCTCCTCTAAGCCCAAATAATGAAGGGCATAACCACTATTTTACACACTAATTCTCCCGGCCTCTGTAACACTGCATGCATTTGAGGTGTTCTAATACTAAACTAACACTACTTTTGAATTTGGCACCTTATTGTACCTTATTAAAGGTGCTGTAAGCTGCATTTTGGCTAACTTCCTCTTCATTCTTGCAGTTAGCAGCCACCTCTCTCCTCCCCATCACCACACTGAAATTCTGCTACCTGCTCTTTTAATAGGCCTTTTCCACCAACAGGGAACCAGCTCCATTGTGGTTCAAGGACCTTGTTTTGAACCGTTCTGAGCATTTCGATCAAAATTAAATTGGTTCCCAACCTGAAAAGTTGGTTCCCAGCTAGAACCAAAAAATAGGTTTTTCTTGGCAACCAAGGTGGATGTGTCATCTTCTGCAGGTCTTGTCTTCAAAGTTATAATTAAATGAAATGAAATTATGAATCAAAAGTGTTTTTGTTTAACAAGAGAGATGGCTTCCGGCTTCTCTATTCAGACTAATTGGTTGGTTTGGTAAATCTACATCTGGTTAACTACTTACGGTTTCACATTCAGTGGATGAAACTAAGCAGCACTTAACAAGTAATTAGTTTGGTTGAGTCCCCTTTCAAAACTCTGAAGCCATATGAACAGTCTTGATAATACAAGTAAATCTACCTAAAATGTTATTTATACAACTGAAAATCATTGTATAAATGGACTGTACATATATTGTGCCTTTTTTAGTCTTTCGACCACTCAATGCACTGTACACTACATGCCACACTCACCCCATTCACATACATTCATACACTGATGGAAGTGTAACTGCTCGTCAGAAAGGAATTTAATCATTCATATACACCGATGCACAGCATCAGGAGCAATTTGGACACTTTGGAGGAGCCGGGAATCGAACCTCCAATTAGTGTACAACCCGCTTTACCTCTGAGCCACAGCCGCCCCGACACACGGTAAACACGAGAAATGAGCCGTACACTAATTATACATAATCAGTTTAAAGCTGCAGAAGATTTTTCACCGTTAGGAGCAGGAACCAGAGGAAGCTGATCTATTTACAGATTATCTGTCCCATGTACTACTGTCAGGATATATTGAAGGTTTCAGCAAATGACAAAAATGTAAAATTACCTACTGCAGCTTTAAGAAATTTGACAACCTCAGATCTTTTTAAAAAAAAACTTTGAAGCATATCTTTGAACCATGGTTTCACCCAACAGCTCTAACAAACAGCAATGTAGGAAAAGGCACAGAAGGAATCAAGGAAATGTATTCATCATTATACAACACAAGGTTGTGTAACGAATGAAAATTTTTAGTCCCTTCATGCTACACACATAGAAAAAGATAACTCAATTCATAGAATAACATATAAAATAAATAAAATGAAGTAAACCAGTTACATTGATGTGGTAACCAAGGCGATATATTGCATTTTTTGTTTATGCATAGAATTTGTTTAAATTATTATTTTTTAAATGTTTACAACACTGTTGTATAGAGGTTGGGGATTGTGGTGGCAATTTGTTTAATAAAGCATACAAAGTATGATCTTGTCTTTCTGTAAGGTTTTATTCAAGTCATCCATGAAT